ATAAAATGATATGTAATTTGCATAAATAATAGCTTTGGTTCCTTATGCCACCGTGATTGAAAACACACCCACACACGCTCCCATGTTCCCGCAGGAGTAGCAGCAGGGTAAACACACAGTGAGGAGTGACTGATGTCCGGACGGCGCTCTCAGAGAAGGAGGAAAACAGTAAGGACTTACATGGTGAGTCACGGCTAATCCCTGTAACCGCAGAAACAGAGGCAGAGATTGTGGTGCCTGCGTGATGTGAAGGTTGTTCTCAGACAGCCTGCTATTCTTAGGCTGTCTGCATTCATCTGAGATGGTGCAAAGTTTATTTTTCTCTCTTTCGTCTAAAAACGTACAAAGCAAAGTGAAGTAATTACAACCTTTCTCAGTCTTCTCTGTGCCGTTTCCTGTTGGTGTGATGTTTCTCTGTTCTCACTGTTCTATGTGATGTTCACTGCTATATAGCTGCGGTCTGGCCTGCTGCCTCGCCGTCTCTGGAGAGTAATCAATCTCACTAAAGGAAGAAATTCATGTGAAACTCAAGCTCAGTTAGTGCTTTTATTAAATGTATCATCTAAAACAACTTCAGTATACAGATATACTTATTCTACATGTCCTGGATACTATATGTAGGGCATATATACAGTAATGCTACAAACAAGTACCTCTGTTGCCAAACTTATTAAAGGAATCGTTAGCCAAAAATGCTAATTCCGTAATGATTTACTCACTCTCATGTTGTTTCAGACCTGTATTAATTTTTTCTTCCACAGAACTGAAAGATGAAAGTGAATGGCGAGCAGGGCCTGTCAAGTTCAAAAAAGGACAAAAAAAGGGTTTAAGTATCACAAAAATGGTCCATATGTACATTCTTTTTTAGGAGCTTTTTAGGAGCTTTTTTAGGAGCTTTTATCTGAAGCAGTTTATAAATTAAGAACATCACAAGACGTTCACAAGAATATCGCAATTCAGAAAATGAGATTAGAAAACCTAGAGAACTAGCGAACAGTTGTACACTGCATTCCAAGTCTTCTGAACAATAGCTTTATGTTTGGAACAGACTACAGTTTGTTATTCCCAGATAATCTTCCCTGCTGCTGTTGCTCACAAATCTCATTTGTGCAATTTGAATATGCACATATTAACATTTGGTACATTCAGATCGGTTACGAGACACACAAGAACCAATATCATGTGGGATGTATTGATGCGCCATGTTAGAATAAATAATGTATGCAAAATGAAACTATGAACTTAAATTTCAGTCTTTTTCACACACAACGCTATTACATGACTTCAGTAGACTAAGAACATAGTGCATGAGTCGTATGGAGCGCTTTTGCAGTGTTTTTGGTCACCATTCACTATCATGGAGAAGAGTAACATGAACATTGTGCCTAACATCTCCTGAGTAAATTACAACAGAATTTTGAACTATTCCTAAAATAACATAGTGTGGATCAGGGGAACATGAAGCATCTCTGAGAACAGTGTAGTCTTGTACCTGTTTACAATCACAGCTCCTCATCTCTCTCTTCATCCCTTCTGTCAGCACATTATGTTACACCCAGTCAGGTGCTTTTTGAGGCCAAAATTAAGTTTGTACAAATGGCTCAGGGACTCTAATGAGCTACACAGGTCCTGTGCAGAGTTCACAAGGCTGGGACCTTTGCGATCTGCTTACCTCCCCAGAGTGAAGATGCTCTCCATAATCGATTACACTGAACAGGCGTCACTTTTTTATTATCTACTGGAGAGGGCTGATCTTTCGCAGTAGCCTCTAATCTAATTGGAGATGGCACCAATTCCCAGCAGCATAAGGCAGGCAGACAGACGCACATCACTGCTGAAATCAGTGGTGCTGTGTTATAAATCAGCTTCAGTTCCCACACACACACCGCATAACCACACCAACCTGCCCTTCTATCACAACATTATACAGTCTCTGCACCAGCTGTGTATCAGGCCAAGACCCAATGTATTTCAGCCCAGTGAAGTTAAAGTATATGCCACCTCAAAACATGATGAGAGAAACTGCATTTTGCCAAATGATAGTGTATCAGGGCCCTTAACGTACACTATCTACTCTAGGGGCTACTGAACAGACATTTAGAAGTTTATTTTAAAGTATTGAAAATCAAAATGTGTTAGTAAAGCTCTGTAAAACTTTACTTGTAAGTTGCAACACACACTTGCAGTCTACAAGCACACTTGAAAACTTGGGCCAAATACAGGAAATTTGTCATGTAAGTATACAAGTGAACAATTGAAGACTGAAACTGTGTGTGTTGGGACAGGCCCTAAAATTCCAGGGGAAAAAGGGGTTAGTGGAAAAGAATCGCTAGTGATCAGGACTTGACTTGGACAATACACCCAGCTAACAAGAAATGTTTTCAGAACTTTGGCCAGGCCAGGCCCGGACTGGCGGCTGATTTGGCCCGCTGCCCTGATTATTATTATTATTTTTTTTATTATTATTACTATTAATAATATTTTATATTTATACCGCGAGGTGACATGGTCGGTTCACTTAGTTTAGTCATGGCCACGACATAATAACTGATGGGAATGTGATAATATGCCGTGGCAACGCGATATTAATTCATGGGAACATCATATTAACTCGTGGGAACGTGATATTATGTCGTGGCCACGACTTCTTATGTTGAGGGAACGACATATCTTTCTAGTGGCCACGAGTTTAATGCGTAAACAAACCTGCGTGACCATAGCAACCCTGGATTATCAGAGATGGATTCATTAATATTTTATTTTGAATTAAGAAATTATTATATTATTTATTATAGAAATTATTACATTTTTATATTAACCATAGGCTGACTGTATAGTCAGCATTCAAACGAAGTTTATCATGAATACCTAAATGTTACATAAAGTGCATAATATAAAATAGGCCTACAAGAAAACATTTTTATCCATCCTACAGGCTAATGTCCCAGTAATGTTAATAGAACTTTTGTTTAAAGTTATCTGGTCTTTGATAATATTCTCAAAACGTTAGCGCAAAAACATTATAGTTCATGGAATGTTTTTCTTCTAAAACGTTTTAGTTGGACATTTTTATTTTTTCTTGTTTTTTTATGTTACTACCTGTTTCAGAACGTTCAGAAAACTTTCAAAAGTAACATTTCCATAATGTTTGCAAAATGATCAAATGAAATGTATCCTATAGCTATATAACCAGGAAAGTTTAAAAAAGCACATTTTGGAAACATTTAAAAAACGCACATTTTTAATGTTCAGAGAACATTTAGAAATAACGTTTCAATAATTTAATGGGAACGTTCGCATAACGTTCTTAGAACATATTTTTGTTAGCTAGCCAGCTACTCCCCAAAAATGCGCACGTTAAATATTGATTTGAGTTTAAATTATTTTATAATCTTACATTATTTTGCAGATTCTGTTGGGAAAAATAGTCCACTACAAAGTCCAAAACAAACTAGCAACGAGACCAAGTTTGCAACAATATACTGAAGTCATCTGAGGTAACTGTCACTGATGTACAACGTTGCCATGGATGACAGGGATAGTGCAATGGACCAATCATAAACGAGCATTCCAGAACGTCATGGCATTTTAAACATAGTAATGCCTTAGTAATTTTTGTTAGTGTTGTCTGGATTTGTCTAAATATAGCTCTGCCTTCAGAGACTTCAGCTTCACTGATTGATGGTGTTGGTTTTAAAAATGGCTGTGAATTCAAGCCTAACTGGGGGTAAAGCTTTTCCAAGCATTAAGTGCAGTAATGAAAAAAGTTTTGAGTGATGTAGTCATTTTACTCAATAACAGTCTGTTGATTGCTGCTTGAGAGGCTGTGAGCCAAAGCCCATCTCAGCAATGAAATCTAACTCTCAGTTACAGATTGACTGGCACTCATACAGTGGGATTGATGACCAGTGTTAATTACTTAGTAATGAATAATTCAGTCCAGTAATGGGTGGATGAAAACGAAAAGCCCACAGTCAATAAGAAAGCTCCATCTGAGAAGACAACAAATTCCCAAGGGGCGAGAAGAAATCAAGAGCACTTACAGCGGAACTGAAGCGTGAACTGGGCTGTTCTCCAATATGCTGATTCAGCCCCTCCCACAGTCCCCAATCCAGGGCCCATCTGTGGAGAATATATATAGATGATAATGCTTTCTTTATGATAGAGAAGTATTGCATATTTCATCGCATTCTAGTGTCATCTCTTTTCTCTAATAGTGAAAAAGGAAACCATTGAATGCTAAACTGATTCAAGAGGGGGAAACTATCTAACAGTTACATTATTGATCTACTCATTGAAGCAGCAGCACCATCTAGTGGAGATTTGATTTTGAAACTTTTTGATGCCAAGGACTCTCGAACACACACACACACACACACACACACACACACACATATATATAATCATTATTATTATTATTAAGTTAACAGCGTATCTGAGATTAACATATTACACCAGTCTTTATAAAGCAGAAAAAAATTGTATATGAGTGTAAAAATACTTATGTAAAACAACATGTAATTAATATCCAAAGTGTACATATTAAATTTGACAGTCCAAAAATACATTTTGTACATATTGTAAATATATTCATGTATATGTAAATACATTTATATTGTGTGGGGAAAATATTACATGTAATATTATATAAATACTACAAGTTGAAATACATGTTTCCAAAATTAAATATATTAAAGTTTACTTGGGTAAAAAATATTTTTTTATGTATGTATATATATATAGTGTACATACTAAATTTGACAGTCCAAAAATACATTTTGTAAAATATTATCTCTCAATCTTTTTTCAAACCACTTGTAGCTCCTTGTAGACACAAATATGACTGTGAAATGTTCAGTAAAAACATTGTTATTTTGTTCTACTTTTATTTCTCTCACTCAAACAGAATATCCTGTGCCAGTCGTATGTGTGGAAGTGTGTTAGACAGGTGTACTTTGGAGCGTTGGCTCAAGTTATTTGTCAGCTCACTGTGGAATAATAAGGGACTGAATTTGGATTGACATATGGCTTCATTCATTCTCCTTCTATTCCAATATATTCTGCTGCAGGCCTTTGCAGGTAAGACCTACAAAACCATTTACCTCTCATAAATCAGACTTCTTAGAGCTGACAGAGAACATAGCAGGCACACTTGGCATTTGCCTTCTGACTCTCTGAGGGTTAATAATCATATTCCCGTGTATGCTTTCAGTAGTTCCCCTCCAGTAAAGATTATAAACTCTCAAACTCTGTTACTAGATGGGGCGAAAGCTGACAGCATTTTGCGGAGACACAGGCGAGCAAACACAGGACTGTTTGAGGAGTTTCTGAATAGGAATGTGGAGAGGGAGTGTATGGAGGAGAACTGTGTCCTGGAGGAGGCCAGAGAAGCCTTTGAAAATGATGAAAAGACAGTGAGTAGACAAGTTGTGGTTCGTCAGTTGTCATGCGCTGTGTAATATAGCAAATGTGTTTGGTCTGTTTTTCAGATGGAGTTTTGGGCAGGTTATGTTGGTAAGTGTGTTTAATCATTTACCGTCATATTTACCAAGGGCAAACAGGAGAAGATCTCAACAGTTCACCCCAAAGATGAAAATTTGCTTAAAATGTACTCACCCCGCAGATCATCCAAGATGTAGATGAGTTTGTGTCTTCATTGGAACAGATTTGGAGAAATTTAGCATTAAATCACTTGCTCACTGATGAATCCTCTGCAGTGAATGGGTGCCGTCAGAATGAGAGTCCAAACAGCTGATAAAAACATCACAACAATCCACAAGTAATCCAAATTACTCCAGTCCATCCTGTAAAGCAAAAATATGCGTGTTTGTAATAAATATATAAATCATTAAAACGTTCTTAACTTCAAACTGTTGCCTCCGGCTAAAATAAAAGTGATCTATCCATAATATTGCTTTCTCTCCTGATTCTCTCTGTCTTGTCTGAATCAGGAGAGAAACATGCACAGATCAAGCACCGTTTACAAGTGAAAACAGTTCTAAACAAATATGTCAGTGGATTTTGATGTGAGAGAAAAACAGGGGATGAATGTTTTCACTGGAAGAAGTGTTATTATGGATAGATGACTTTTGGCCAGAAGCAACAGTTTAAAGTTAAAAAATGTCCATATGATGTCATATGTTTAGATTGCAATTGGACCAATAAATGAAATAGCCTAATATTTGAACTGGACATCATTGTATTCTTAAACTCAGAATTCAGGAAATACAATCCATTTAGGTAACGTTTAATTAGACAAATTATTAAAATAATTTAAACTGGATTTGAATCTCCATCTGTTCCTTCTTCCAGAATTTTAATAAAGCACTTTATGTCTATAAATTTTTTTCTTACCAGTTGTTAATAAATGATCCTGTCTGTTAGATGGGGACCAGTGTAAATCGTCACCCTGTCAAAACTGGGGCACTTGTGAGGACCAGATGGGCACATACACCTGTAACTGTCTACCAGGCTATGTCGGCAAAAACTGTGAAATAGGTTAGACAAGAAATCTTTCTTCCCTCAAACACACAGTGCACCATGTTGAGCTAATAATAATAATGAAAATCTAATAAATTCCTGAAGATAATCAAAAAGATGCTTTGTGCTGTTTCTCAGTGACTGCCAAAATGTGTGATGTTGATAATGGAGGCTGTGAGCATTTCTGTGTTGTGATGGAGTCTCATGGGACAGGGTGTCAGTGTGCATCCGGTTACAGACTTAAAGAAGATGGATTCACGTGTGAACCTATAGGTGATTTAATTACTTCGTAGATTCCTAATGCCCTCAACATCTGAAAGAGCTAGGTTACTTTCGTTCTTAAAGTACTAGTAGTTTTGTTTTTTAAAGAAAGGCACTGCAAGCAAGTTTTAATGCAAGACATTTAACAACAACAACTTATTATTTTTTTTATGTGTCACTAGTTAAGTTTCCATGTGGCAAAGTCACTAAAACGGCTGTGAGAACTTTTGCCAGCGGTCCAACGTCTGCACCGAACTCTGCACAATCTTCCAATAAATCCACATCCAGCACTTCCAAACCGGACAACTTGACAAGCCCTTCAAATTCTAAACAGAAAAAAGAGAAAATCGCGCCATCTCATGTTAAACTCCCTGAATGGGCATTTGAGGAGTATTTGATGACTCCTGTACCAACCGTAAGTGCCCCAAAAAGCCGTATTGTTGGTGGCAATCCAGCTTTACCTGGAGAAATCCCTTGGCAGGTAAAGACTATAAATATTATGTGCTATAGCAATCAAAAATGTCTTTGATCAAATCATCTCTGAGTAAATTAGTGAGTTACGGGCACATCTACTACAACGCAATCTGTTTATGCACCCAAAATCATGTCATTTATCCTGCTGATCTCTAGGTGGCGCTGGTGGCGCGCTCAACACAGCAGGTATTCTGCGGAGGCTCCATTCTTAACCAGTTATGGGTCATTACTGCAGCCCACTGTCTGGTAGGGACACAGAATGGATCCTTCTACATCAGAGTTGGTAAGACCAGAACAACAGCCAAGGAAATACTGATTAAATGAAATTGCTGTATGGCGCCAATATTTAAATTGATAAAATATTTAAAAATTGGGCGTCTCGAGTTCGAGTCCCAGCTCGCTATGTAAGGTTTCCACAAAAATATTAAGCAGCACAACTGCTTTCACCATTATTAATAAGATGATATATTTGTTGAACACCAAATCAATAGACTATAAATAATAGCACGCTTTCTGAAGGATCATGTGACACTGAAGACTGGAGTAATGATGCTGAAAATTCAGCTTTGCCATTACAGGAATATTACATCTTAAAATACATTCTAATAGAGAACTTATTTTAACTTAATTATTTTAAATTGTAATAATATTTCACAATATTAGTGGTTTTACTGTAGCAAATAAATATAGCCTTGGCGAGCATAAAACAATTCTTTAAAAAACAAACATGATCTTATATGCAACATTGCATATCAGATAAATGTATCTTTTCTTTTTTTAAATATTCTTTAGATATTTTTTCCTGAAATTTTTACAATTCCAAGACCAGTTATTAATATTACTAACTAAACAACTATGCTTCACAGGGGAGCATGATGTCTCCAAGACTGAAGGCACAGAACAGAATCTGAACATCACCCGTTTCATCTCACATCCCCGTTATGACTCCAAAGTAAGCCTCTACAATCATGACATTGCCTTGTTGCGGCTGCGCAACCCCATCCGGTTTACCCTAACTGTACTTCCTATCTGCCTGGGACCCATGCTCTTCTCCAACTCACTGCTGCAGTCTGGATCTCTGGCTACTGTCAGCGGCTGGGGCCGTCTGCGCTTTCAAGGCCGAAGTGCAGTGAACCTACAGAAGGTTGAGTTGCCTTATGTAGACAGAACAGTGTGTAAGGAAAGCAGCAGTGACCCAGTCACATACTTCATGTTCTGTGCTGGATACTCAGATTCTCCTAAAGACGCGTGTCAGGGGGACAGCGGAGGACCTCATGCCATGCGCTACCACAACACCTGGTTCCTCACAGGCATTGTCAGTTGGGGAGAAGAATGTGCCAAGAAAGGGAAGTACAGTGTGTACACCCAGGTTGGTAACTATTATCGTTGGATACAGCACATCATCAGAGTTACAAAGGGAGTACTGCTTAAAAATGTGGACCTGTGACCTTAAATTCTCATTTTAAAATGCCATCTGCACACATGGAGTAGTCAAACCTGGAGAGAGAAGATGATCTTGTTTAATTAAATGAAGTGACATAAATACAGTTAGATTGTTCGTAATCCACTGATCCCATTGTAACAGACTGTAGTCATGCTCCGCCCCTTAAGACCTGGCTGGCCAATGAGATTCCATCAATAAACCCTGTGCAGCATTTCATCATCTATACATGACTTAGTACTTTCACTGTCCCATAAGGAAATCAAGAGCACTTACAGCGGAACTGAAGCGTGAACTGGGCTGTTCTCCAATATGCTGATTCAGCCCCTCCCACAGTCCCCAATCCAGGGCCCATCTGTGGAGAATATATATAGATGATAATGCTTTCTTTATGATAGAGAAGTATTGCATATTTCATCGCATTCTAGTGTCATCTCTTTTCTCTAATAGTGAAAAAGGAAACCATTGAATGCTAAACTGATTCAAGAGGGGGAAACTATCTAACAGTTACATTATTGATCTACTCATTGAAGCAGCAGCACCATCTAGTGGAGATTTGATTTTGAAACTTTTTGATGCCAAGGACTCTCGAACACACACACACACACACACACACACACACACACATATATATATAATCATTATTATTATTATTAAGTTAACAGCGTATCTGAGATTAACATATTACACCAGTCTTTATAAAGCAGAAAAAAATTGTATATGAGTGTAAAAATACTTATGTAAAACAACATGTAATTAATATCCAAAGTGTACATATTAAATTTGACAGTCCAAAAATACATTTTGTACATATTGTAAATATATTCATGTATATGTAAATACATTTATATTGTGTGGGGAAAATATTACATGTAATATTATATAAATACTACAAGTTGAAATACATGTTTCCAAAATTAAATATATTAAAGTTTACTTGGGTAAAAAATATTTTTTTATGTATGTATATATATATAGTGTACATACTAAATTTGACAGTCCAAAAATACATTTTGTAAAATATTATCTCTCAATCTTTTTTCAAACCACTTGTAGCTCCTTGTAGACACAAATATGACTGTGAAATGTTCAGTAAAAACATTGTTATTTTGTTCTACTTTTATTTCTCTCACTCAAACAGAATATCCTGTGCCAGTCGTATGTGTGGAAGTGTGTTAGACAGGTGTACTTTGGAGCGTTGGCTCAAGTTATTTGTCAGCTCACTGTGGAATAATAAGGGACTGAATTTGGATTGACATATGGCTTCATTCATTCTCCTTCTATTCCAATATATTCTGCTGCAGGCCTTTGCAGGTAAGACCTACAAAACCATTTACCTCTCATAAATCAGACTTCTTAGAGCTGACAGAGAACATAGCAGGCACACTTGGCATTTGCCTTCTGACTCTCTGAGGGTTAATAATCATATTCCCGTGTATGCTTTCAGTAGTTCCCCTCCAGTAAAGATTATAAACTCTCAAACTCTGTTACTAGATGGGGCGAAAGCTGACAGCATTTTGCGGAGACACAGGCGAGCAAACACAGGACTGTTTGAGGAGTTTCTGAATAGGAATGTGGAGAGGGAGTGTATGGAGGAGAACTGTGTCCTGGAGGAGGCCAGAGAAGCCTTTGAAAATGATGAAAAGACAGTGAGTAGACAAGATGTGGTTCGTCAGTTGTCATGCATTGTGTAATATAGCAAATGTGTGTTTGGTCTGTTTTTCAGATGGAGTTCTGGGCAAGTTATGTTGGTAAGTGTGTTTAATCATTTACCGTCATATTTACCAAGGGCAAACAGGAGAAGATCTCAACAGTTCACCCCAAAGATGAAAATTTGCTTAAAATGTACTCACCCCGCAGATCATCCAAGATGTAGATGAGTTTGTGTCTTCATTGGAACAGATTTGGAGAAATTTAGCATTAAATCACTTGCTCACTGATGAATCCTCTGCAGTGAATGGGTGCCGTCAGAATGAGAGTCCAAACAGCTGATAAAAACATCACAACAATCCACAAGTAATCCAAATTACTCCAGTCCATCCTGTAAAGCAAAAATATGCGTGTTTGTAATAAATATATAAATCATTAAAACGTTCTTAACTTCAAACTGTTGCCTCCGGCTAAAATAAAAGTGATCTATCCATAATATTGCTTTCTCTCCTGATTCTCTCTGTCTTGTCTGAATCAGGAGAGAAACATGCACAGATCAAGCACCGTTTACAAGTGAAAACAGTTCTAAACAAATATGTCAGTGGATTTTGATGTGAGAGAAAAACAGGGGATGAATGTTTTCACTGGAAGAAGTGTTATTATGGATAGATGACTTTTGGCCAGAAGCAACAGTTTAAAGTTAAAAAACGTTCATATGATGTCATATGTTTAGATTGCAATTGGACCAATAAATTAAATAGCCTAATATTTGAACTGGACATCATTGTATTCTTAAACTCAGAATTCAGGAAATAAAATCCATTTAGGTAACGTTTAATTAGACAAATTATTAAAATAATTTAAACTGGATTTGAATCTCCATCTGTTCCTTCTTCCAGAATTTTAATAAAGCACTTTATGTCTATAAATTTTTTTCTTACCAGTTGTTAATAAATGATCCTGTCTGTTAGATGGGGACCAGTGTAAATCGTCACCCTGTCAAAACTGGGGCACTTGTGAGGACCAGATGGGCACATACACCTGTAACTGTCTACCAGGCTATGTCGGCAAAAACTGTGAAATAGGTTAGACAAGAAATCTTTCTTCCCTCAAACACACAGTGCACCATGTTGAGCTAATAATAATAATGAAAATCTAATAAATTCCTGAAGATAATCAAAAAGATGCTTTGTGCTGTTTCTCAGTGACTGCCAAAATGTGTGATGTTGATAATGGAGGCTGTGAGCATTTCTGTGTTGTGATGGAGTCTCATGGGACAGGGTGTCAGTGTGCATCCGGTTACAGACTTAAAGAAGATGGATTCACGTGTGAACCTATAGGTGATTTAATTACTTCTTAAATTCCTAATGTCCTGATTGTTCCAAAAATATCTAAAAGAGCTACTTTCGTTCTTAAAGAACAAGCAACAGTTGTTTTAGAGAAAGACACTGCAAGCAAAACATAAAAAAAACCAATGTGTTACTAGTTAAGTTTCCATGTGGCAAAGTCAGTAAAACAGCTGTGAGAACTTTTGCCAGCGGTCCCACCACTGGCACATCTGCACAGTCTTCCAATAAGACAATCAAATCCACATCCAGCACTTCCAAACCGGACAATTGGACAACCTCTACAGATTCTAAACAAAAAGGCAGCAAAATCCCGCCATCTCATGTTAAACTACCCGAATGGGTCTTTGATGAGTATTTGATGTCTCCTGAACCAACAGTAAATGCCCCAAAAAGTCGTATTGTTGGTGGCAATCCAGCTTTACCTGGAGAAATCCCTTGGCAGGTAAAGATTATAAATATTATGTGCTATAGCAGTCAAAATGCCTTCGATCAAATCATCTATGAGTAAATTATGGAGTTAGGGTAGGGTGACCAGATTTGTCATGGTTCAATACGGGACGGGGGGAGAGACGATATGAGAAATTTTATTTCATGATATCTAAATTTATTTATATATATATAGCCTACATACACACACGTACATAGTTATTTTTTTTATATAAAAATAAAGCAAATTACAAACCATAAGAAAAATACAATAGATACACATTAAATATTAAGTAAACTTGTTTTTCTAATACAGTAGGTTTAACATGTATACTTTAACATCTTTTGCTGTTTGATTAACATTAAAGGGGTCATATGATGTGATTTCAATTTTTCCTTTCTCATTGGAGTGTTACAAGCTCTTGGTGCATAAAGAAGATCTGTAAAGTTGCAAAGACTAAAGTCTCAAATCCAAAGAGATTTAAGAGAAAGTTAAGAGTCAACCACGCCTACCTAAAACGGCTCGTTCTAACACGCCCCCACATGTCTACGGCAAGATTTGCATAACGCCGCCCAAATGTTCACACAAAGAAAGCAAGCATAACTTTTATTCTCGCTGTAGTATTGTTGTTGCCGCCGCCGCCATGTCGTGAAGGCGCTGTGTGTTTTGTTGTGAAAGCGAAACTACTTTGTTTGGCCTTCCAAAAGAGGACGATATCCGCTTCGTCATGCCTGGAGCTGATCCGTGCTGGTCGCTGAGGAAATACATCAACTTAGTGCTGTGGATCACCGGATATGCTTTCACCGTTTTCACCGCTCCTTCGCCAGGACCGCCGTTCTCGACCCCGCCGCCTCAGCTCACTCTTGCCCGGCCTCAGCTCACGGTAAGCCGGGGCTTTCGCTCATGCTAGGCCGCTGTATACTTTATTTAACATCTTTTGTTGTTTGATTAACATTATGAGACTGACAGGTATTTAAATATAGCTGCAAGAAGCAATTACGGGGCCAAGCACTACAGAAGCAAGCATCAGACCAACTGCGACAATGAGTAATTGAAGCCACTGTAGGATGATTTTAGTCAAAACGGCTGAAAAATCAAATACAATCTCTAGTAATATGATTTATTGTCTTGTCACGTTTGACCAATAGGTGGCGCTGTTATCAAATCGATGTGGTGTGTTCTGTGCGAGTTGACAATGGCACACACAAAGTTTGGTATCAATATGCCAAAGCATTGCAGAGATACAGCCTCAAGTGTCATTTTGGCATCATGCCTCAAATTCGTTGCTGTGGTATGCGAAAACGGTTTTGTCTATCAACACAAAATCCATAACTTTTTGTCCGCTGTGGATCGCCGGATCGGCCTTCACCATGGACGAAGCGGAGTCCAGCCCGGGGTTGCTAGTCATCAGGACACGACTAGAAATCAGTGGTTAAGTTGTATTTACAACACTTTTCAAAGGTAAAATGACAGAAATGTTTGTTCTTATTAGGGTTTCCACGGGTCCTTAACGTCTTCAGTTAAATTGTTTACATTTAAGGCCATGCAAACTCTTAAATGGTACAAAAAGTCTAAATTATAAGAGTTCTTTGGGGACGGAAAGAAAAGAATTGCTATATGGATTAATATGACGATTAA